ATCTGGTAACCTTAGGCTAAGGGAGCCAGCGTTTGTCCACAGACAGCTTTCTGGGTCATGTGGCCAGCAGGACTAAACAACTTCTGACGCAACAGGACACCGTGATGGAAACCAGAGTGCATGGAAACACCGTTTACCTTCCCGCCGCAGTGGTACCTATTTATCTACTCGCACTGGTGTGCTTCCGATTTGCTAGATTGGCAGGAGCTGGGACAGAGCAGCAGGAGCTCACTCCTTCATGTGGATTCGAACCGCCGAGCTTCTGATCGGCAAGCCCAACAGACTCAGTGGTTTAGACCACAGTGCCACCTACCACCTGTATTGTTTCTTAATGGCCTCAACTTGGCCAGGTCATTTCTCATAAGCTAGCTCAAGAATTCCTCTGCAGCTGGTATTTCTCCCTTCACTCCCCAAATAATCAAAATCATAAAGGTAAAGGGTAAAGGGACCCCTGACCATTAGGTCCAGTTGTGGCTGACTCTGGGGTTGCGGCGCTCATCTCGCTTTATTGGCCGAGGGAGCCGGCGTACAGCTTCCGGCTCATGTGGCCAGCATGACTAAGCCGCTTCTGGAGAACCAGAGAAGCACGGAAACGCCATTTACCTTCCCGCTGGAGCGGTACCTATTTATCTACTTGCACTTTGACGTGCTTTTGAGCAGGGAGCAGGGACCGAGCAATGGGAGCTCACCCCGTCGCAGGGATTCGAACTGCCGACCTTCTGATCGGTAAGTCCTAGGCTCTGTGCTTTAACCCACAGCGCCACCCGCATCCCTAATCAAAATCATACCATTTATTAATTTTAGGGTTTAGGGGAGTCGCCCCCCCCAAATCTATAACAATAGCCCTCTCTACCATGAATTTGTCCAGTTCACTTTGGGCCATCTATCTCTATTGATGTTCTATTGCTCCACCCATTGAACTTGCACAGCCGCCATCTTTTGTTCTCATAGAGGAGAGTGGGTGAGTTGCAGTCTTCAACTCGGCCCACACCTTTTATGTTTCTCGCTGAGTTGTTAAACTGTCCTGTCAAGGCCCTGAGGGATTGTTACCGAATCTGGGCGCCATTAACGGCTTGTTAAGGGATAACACAGCATTTGCTGGAACAAACTTCCATTTATCATCCCCTTGGCCTTTTCTCTCTCTCTCTCTCCTCCCCCCACCCCCTCATCGCTCATGATAAATCCGAGCTGAGAATACCCTCAGGGCTTCCAGCAAAGGCCTGACAGGCGTCCCTCTTGTAGCCAAGCGGCCTCTTGCCCTTCTGTTATTTCCACTTCTCTTCCCCGGAGAAGTTCCAAGAGAGACTGTTAATCAAGAGGCATTATAAAGATGGCTCTCCGAAAAGGGAGAGACTCACTTTGATGGGGAAGCCCAGGGGAGAACGCTCTGTCTATTTCAGCACTAAGTACTAAGCTGTTTCCACAAACAATGCAAAACATTAATTTTGCATTAAAGGAGAAGAATTCAACCTCTGGCCATTGCTGCGATCCCCACCACCCCATGTGGCTTGGGTGCAAATCCCCCAAGTGCCCCTATTTTCCAGGGACAGTCCCAGATTTACAGCCATCCTGGTTTCTGATTTGATCCTGGAATGTCCCACTTTTCCTTAAAGGTAAAGGGACCCCTGACTATTAGGTCCAGTCGTGGCCGACTCGGGGGTTGCGGCGCTCATCTCACTTTATTGGCTGAGGGAGACGGCGTACAGCTTCCGGCTCATGTGGCCAGCACGACTAAGCCGCTTCTGGTGAACCAGAGCAGCGCACGGAAACGCTGTTTACCTTCCTGCCAGAGCGGTACCTATTTATCTACTTGCACTTTGATGTGCTTTCGAACTGCTAGGTTGGCAGGAGCAGGAACCGAGCAATAGGAGCTCACCCCATCGCAGGGATTCGAACCGCTGACATTCTGATTGGCAAGCCCTAGGCTCTGTGGTTTAACCCACAGCACCACCTGTGTCCCTCACTTTTCCTTAGGACGTCCCTATTTTCTTCAGAGAAGTGTTGGTGGGTATGGTAGGACGTCCCTATTTTCATCAGATAAATATTGGAGGGCATGGAGTTATCCAACCCCTGAGCAATCTGAAGGCAGCCCTGCATAGGGAAGTTATTTTTAACAAAAAATGTTTATCATCTCTCTCTCTCTCTCTCTCTCTCTCTCTCTCTCTCTCTCTATTTCTTGAGTTTATATACTGCCCTATACCCGGAGGTCTCAGGGCGGTTCATAGAAAATATCACAGCATATATAATCTGAATAAAAACAACAACCCAATAACACCCCCCACCCAGAAAAGAGCCACATTTTAAAAGGGTATAGGATGTGAAACAGATCAACAGGCCTGTTTAAAAAGGAACGTTTTTGCCTGGCACCTAAAGGTGTGTAATGAAGCTGTAATGGTGTGTAATGAAGCTGCCAGGCGAACTTCCCTGGGCAGAGCATTCCACAGAAGGGGAGCCACTGCTAGGTTGGCAGGAGCAGGGACTGAGCAACAGGAGCTCACCCCGTTGTGGGGATTCGAACCGCTGACCTTCTGATCAGCAAGTCCTAGGCTCTGTGGTTTAACCCACAGCACCACCTGTGTCCCAGATGCAGAATGTAGGCACCCTATATATAGAAATGAGCAAACCAGTGATATTTTAGGGAGCAGGCTAGCAGGCAGGGCCCATTACTTACATCACAGGAGCCTACACAACACAAAACACTGTTGCTGTATGTTGGTTTTATTTTATTTGTTTTTTATCTTATATTTTGGAAATGTACATCCAGTTTTTTCCCCTTTAAATTTTTTTGGGGGGGGACTCAAGAGAGTGGGGCCCTAAGCTTGTTTAGCTTATACATAAATCTGGCACTGCTTGTAAGCGAGTCGGATCCTTGGTCTAGCTCTGTCCTGTTGACACGGGCTGGCAGTGGCTTTCCAGAGTTTCAGATAGGGGACATTCCCCATCCTACTTGGAGATTCTGGGGACTGAATCTGGGACCTTCTGCATGCAAAGCAGGCCGCCTCATCATTTGGCTGAATTTGGAGAAGGGCTTAGATGTGTGTGTTTGTTGGGGGGGGGCACACAGTGCAATCCATAGTTCCAGGAATAAGCCAGTCATCGTCTCATCTCTTTCCCCCCGCCCTCCACCCCATGGGCCAGCTACCCTAATAAGTCATTGATTTCCCTGTATCTTCCCCTTTTAACTCATGCTCCTGTCAATATAAGGCGCTTTGATTCATTCAATAAGGAGAAGGGGCGAGGACTCTAGTCCAAAAAGTTTAATCATTACAACATCACCGGTGACATTTCCAGTGACAGCTTTCATGTGAACCTGACAGCTCCCATTTGGCTGGCTCTCAGGCTGACTTGTTGACCAGTCAAATCCTAGAATTTTGGGAGAATGAAGGGCAGGGGGGAGGATACAGACAGAGAGATTAACTCTCATCATGCAGCTGTTAGCTTTGGGGTGACACCCCATGGAAAGAGGATCTGATAGTCCAGATTTAAAAAGCATAAGTAAAGGGGTTTCTCAGGTGCTCTTGAGCTCAAGCTATAGATTTCCAAAGGATGCAATGATGGCCACTGATTTGGGTGACTTTCAAAAAACGATTTGACAAATTTATGGAGCAATGAGGTTGTCAATAGTTATGAGCCACAACCACAATGTTTGAGCCTATCATGCCTGTGTCCTGCCTATGTTCTAGCTTGTTTTCTCCTGAACCAATGGAGTCAAGTTTCAAGAAAAGCGATTCCAGCTAAGCATTAGGAAGAACTGGGAAATGATATATAATGAATTGAAAAGGATGTTTAAAATAACTTTTGTTTAAAAACCCCAGAAGCTTTTCTTTTGGGAATTATAGGACAGAACTACCTAAATTTTAAAGAAACTTATTCATGTATGCAACTACAGCGGCAAGAATGTTACTTGCCCCCAAATGGAAAGAAGCAGAAGTCCCAGCAAAGGAAGAATGGATACCAAAACTTATGGGCTATGCAGAAATGGCAAAACTTACCGGAAGAATAAGAAACCAAAACAACATTTTTTTTAAATAAAAGAATGGAAATGGTTTACTGCATATTTACAGATAAATTGTAAACAGATAAGAACATTGGCAGGATTATAGTAATAACCTGCAGTTTTACAAGAGTATATATTTAAAGTAGATGAATAAAAGAGCAAATTCAGTTAGTTTGGATATGCAGAAGATATTAAAAATAAATTTAACGAACCGCAGAAAGAGGGGGAAGGAAGTCAAGCTTTGAAATGTTAAAATGATTGTAAAATTAGTGAAATGTATAAATCTGAAAAGCAATTTTTAAAAAAAGCATTGAGAAGAACTTTCTGACAGTAAGAATCATAGAATCAAGAAATTGTAGAGTTGGAAGAGACCCGAATCTAATACAACCCCCTGCAATGCAGGCCTCTCAATTAAAGCATCCATGACAGATGGCCTTCCAACCTCTGCTTAAAAACCTCCAAGGAAGGAGAGCCCACAACCTTCTGAGGGAATCCATTTTACTGTCAAACAGTTCATACTGTCAGAAAGTTCTTCCTGATGTTTAGCCAGCATTTCCTTTCTTGTAACTTGAATCCATTGGTTTGGGTCCTATCGTCTGCAGCAGGAGAAACCAAATTCGTGCCATCTCCCAACCTGCATTGGAAGATGGCTATCATATCTCCTCTCGGTTTCCTCTTATCCAGGCTAAGGTCCCTTGGAAGGTGGTGGCAAGTCTGTTATGTGAGTGCATGTCTGTTAGGCTCCAGGGAATTCTCTCCCTTCCACATGCAGCTGCTGGGTGACCTTGGGCCAGTCACACTTCTCTCTGAAGTCTCTCAGCCCCACTCACCTCACAGAGTGTTTGTTGTGGGGGAGGAAGGGAAAGGAGAATGTTAGCCGCTTTGAGACTCCTTAAAGGGAATGAAAGGCAGGATATCAAATTCAAACTCTTCTTCTTCTTCTTCTTCTGGCTGCAAGGAGCAGAGAAAAACAAAGAGTTCTAATGAGTTTATTCAGTCATCACAGTGAGAGACAAGGAATGCAGTCTGCCTCCCATTAATGGTGTTGCTCCAACTAAGCTCCTCCCACCTCCCTTCCTACCAACAGAACTTCTTATGGTGGCCACCAGGGGCTAATTGTCTCTTCAGCCCTTTGCTCTTGCAACCTCAATGAACGCCAAGTTCTGGGAGAAGGGGGGTCAGAAATACTCTCCAGTGATAACATGTCAGCTGGCTGTGCTGTCTCTGTCTCCTCTGTCTCCCCCTTCTCTTCTCCCAACACCTCCCAGCTCTTCTGTTCACCTGTCTCTGCTCTGTGATCTTCCTCAAACCACTGCTGTAATTCAATACTGCCTTCCTCTTCTCTGGAAGCATCAGGAGAAGAGGGGGGTGATCTCCACCATTCCTCCTCCTCAATCTTGTCCCCTTCAGTCCAGTCCCTGACAATGTCCCACCGCAGACATGACATGATAAGCAGGGATGATGATGATGATGACGATCCTAGCAATGGCAGGAAGCCTCGAGTCAAACTTAAGATATTGATGGATGCTAAAAGAAGGAGGTGGACCTGACCTGCCAGACCTTTAAACTTCATTGTGAACCATCTGCCTTTTGCTGGTTGAGAGAATGGTTGCTTCTTGAAAACACTGAAGTGTTGGACAATGGCAGACGAAGTTGATGGACTATAGGGAATTGGCGGAAATGACTGGCAAGATCCAAGACCAGGGTGAAGAGTCGGTGGAAGAAGATTGGAAAAAGTTTAAAGATTATTTATAGAAATATTGTAAAATTAAGGAATGTTAGAAAAATGTTGGAATGAAATTACATGGCTTTAGTAGAAATGTCATAAGGAATTAAGTATAAATAGATTAATAGAAAATTAAAGGAAAAGTATGGCAAGAATGTGTTAAGATAATTATAGAACAGAAAACAGAGTAAGATGGAAAGGAATTGCTGAAACAAATAATAGAAGTGGAATACAAAAAGGGAGGTGTGAGGAAGTCGCTGGAAATAAGTAAATGAAATATAAGATATTGAATGAAATTTGATTTATTTTATTGTTGTTGCATTGTTTTGTTAGTTTAATGTATTGTATTGTATGTTTTTTTTCTTTTCTTTTAGTGTTTAATTTTTTTGGAAAAGTAATAAATACTATTTAAAAAAAACAAAAAACAAAACACAGCCATGGGTTGCTCCAAAGAGAGCATAAGACATACGAAGAGCCTGCAGGATCAGACCAATGGCCTCTCTAGTCCAGCATCCTGTTCTCACTGTGGCCAACCAGATGTCCATTATGGGAAGCCCACAAGCATCTGTATGGCAACTGAGTGAACACCATGCTGGACTAGATGGACCATTGACCCAACCCAGTAGGCTTTCCTTATATGAAGGTCTTAGTTCTAATCACCCTTTGCCCTGAATCCTGGAAGGTGAGAAGTCTAGCCCATTTCTAACGTCAATGGCAAATGTTTTTTTTTTGGGGGGGGGAGTCCTGGACACCTCTTTCTGTAGAGTTCAGCCCATGAAGAAGAAATAATAATAATAATAATAATATTTATACCCTGCCCATCTAGTTGGGTTTCCCCAGCCACCCTGGGTGGCTCCCAGCAGAATATTAAAAACACGATAAAATATCAAACATTAAAAACATCCCTAAAGAGGGTTGCCTTCAGGTGTTTTCTAAAATTCAGAGAGTTGTTTATTTCCTTGACATCTGATGGGAGGCTGTTCCACAGGGTGGGCGCCACTACTGAGAAGTCCCTCTGTCTGGTTTCCTGTTACCTCATTTCTCGCAGGGAGGGAGCCAGACCTCAGTGTCTGGGCTGAACAATGGGGTGGAGACGCTCCTTCAGGTACACTGGACCGAGGCCGTTTAAGGCTTTAAAGAAAGAATTGTGAGCACTTGTTTCCCCTAACGAAGCTCTTGCCGGGCGCTTTCCCCCTGATTAAGCTCCAATTAAGCACCGACATGGAGGGTATAATTAAGAAAAATGGCACAATGCAAATTCGGTTCCGTCGTGCTGGCTCAAAAGCATGCTAGGACACAAAGTTAAAACTCTGCTGGGAGTCTGGTGTTTGGAGAGTGCTCCGTCTTCAGCCCCCCCCAAATGAGAGTGAGGATGGAAAGATAGATCACAGCCCTGATGCTTCCAACATGTGCACTATGAACATATGGAGGTAGTCGGGTGCCAGCGCTAAAGATTCATCAGGGATAATTGCTGTGTGTAATCCCTTCTGTACTGGTGCTGGATCAGCATCAGTAAGGTAGGAGAGGGATCGGTGTGGGTGATGTCTGGTCAAAATCTGCCCACGATTGCTAGCTCGGTAGGGATGCACGAGGCTGTCTTATGCCTAGTCAGATCATCGTGTCCACCCAGTTCAGTTCTAAGCACAGAATCATAGAGTTGGAAGGGACCCTGAGGATCATCTAACCCAGCCTTTCTCAACCTGTGGGTCCCCAGTGTTGTAAACAAAAATTGGCCCTTTTTCCCTTATGGGGTATTCAAGAGCCCATATAGAGTCCTTATGTAGGTTCCCTATTGGTAGGAGAAAATAATAGAGGCCAACTAGAAAATATTGAGAAACAAAGCAGCTAGTAAGACTGATCTTTATTGATCTGTTGCAACAGGGTCCTCACCACATGCAGGAGGGAGGAGGAACCCAGAACAAAAGTTTGCCTGCCCTTATATAGACATTTTAAGTTCCCTCCCTGGAGTCCAAGACCACCCCCAGAAACATACATCACAGAAGGGGTGTAGCTCAAAACCACCCCCCTCCCAGATACATCATACCTACATTACATAAAGGGCGGTCTACAGCAGAAATCTGAGTGCTTTGTTTACCTCCTGTCTGCCAGGTTACCTGTTTTATGGTCACTTGATTGGATTGCCTGGGGAGCCTGGCCAGTCTTTTGTAATGATAACTACTTATCTTAAATGTGCCCTTAAGACAGGATTTGTGAAGGAAAAGACAATGGGGAGGCTTTTCCATTTTCCTTTGACTTTGCAGAGAAAACATTTGGACAGTTTGGGAATCAAAAATGGTTTCAGGTCAGTCTTCCTGTGCTGATCTATGTACGTGCTTGGTTGGTACACTTATGAACATTTAACATATATCTAAGACCTTAAAATTTCTATCACACCAGTTGTTGTTGAACTACAACTCCCATCATCCCTAGCTAGCAAGGCCAGAGCTCAGGAGTGATGGGAGTTGTAGCCCGACAACATCTGGGGACCCACAGGTTGAGAACCACTGAATTCTAACCCAACCCCCTGCGATGCAGGAATATGCAGCTGTCCCATACAGGAATTGAACCTGTGACCTTGGTGTTATCAGCACCATGCTCTAACCAGCTGAGATGTTCAGCGGATGTGGCCATTGACAGACAGTGACTCTCCATGGTTTCAGGCAGGGAATATTTCCCAGCTCTGCCTGGAATTGCTGCTGGGGATTGAACCTGGGACCTTCTGCATGCTCAACCACTGAGCTACAGCTATTCCCTTAAGATGTAGGAATATGTTTGCTCCTGGAACATCCTGTTCTGGATGCTCCACTGAGAAGCTTGGGTTCTGTGACATCACGGACTGTTCACTCCAAAGGTGAGAACATGAACAGTTCCTGGAACACTCAGTTTTCATTTATTATTATTTTACTTCTATATTGCATTTATATCCCACCTTTGCCTCCAAGGAACTCAGGATGGGGTACATGGCTGTGCACCTCATCATCTCATCCCCACAACAACCCTTTGAGGTAGGTTAGGCTGAGAGGCAGTCACTGACCCAGTGGCACCCAATGAATTTCATGGCGGAGTGGCCATTCATCTGGTTTGCCAGGTCTTAGTCGATCCCTCTTTCTGCTACACCATTCACCTGGTTTGCCAGGTCTTAGTTGAACCCTCTTTCTGCTACACCCCACCAGCTCCTTTCCCATTAGCTTGGCTTCTGTGATGTCATGGAATGTTCTGTTGGAATGTTCTGTTGGGACATGGAATGGCTCTGCTCCTGGAGACCAATCAGGTTGTGGACCCTGGACCCTGGACCTGTCCAAAGGAGGAAAACTCATTCTCTCTCCTCCTCGGAGCCTCCCTCCTTAACTGGAAGCAGGCTGGCAATAACTCAGCCTAGGAAGCAGGAGTAATTTGATATTGCTGAGCCCAGTCAGGGCCCAACAGAAAATCAATGAGGCACGTTGGATTTGTGTCAGAGAAGCAGGGAGGAAAGAAAGTAAAAACTTAACCCACTAGAGGCACCCCCCCAACTCCTCTTGGCCTCCTCCCCTCCTCTACTTGGAGGGCTGAAAAGATTCTGGCTGGTTTCCCACTGAGAAATGAGAGCCGAGATTGAATCCTAACGCCTGCCTTGCCTTTCCCCAGCTCTCTCTCTCTCTCATTCCGGCGCCTGCCTGCCTGCTCATGGCCTCTGATGGCTTTCTTGTAACAAACTGGCTGTCTCCGCCGCTGTCGGTTCGGTCTCGGTCTGGATGATAAAATAGCAAATTCAAGGCCCTTGGGTGCCAACAGTGCAGAGGGCAGTGGGGAAATTGTGGGGAGGGAGTCGATTGCTGGCACAGCCATGGATTGCGGCAGAAAATTGAATTTCAGCCTCCCTGCTCCAGTGGGGGAAGAGGGGTGGAAAGAAGCTGTGTTCTTAGGGGCAAGGGGGATTATTCGCATCCAAAGGGAAATCAGAGCCAGGTGACAAATTCAGAGAAACCAGGTGGTGTGAACTCAAGGGATGGCTCCACTTCAGGTGGCAGCAAGTGGGGGAATCGGGAAATTGCACATCTGAATGCTCCCCCAGGTGAAAAAATTAAATACACTCCTAGGCATAGAAACCTAGCGAAGAGCCTGGCAGATGAAGGGGATCAAGGGCCCAAGTATCCTGTTTTCAAGTTGGCCAACCAAATGGGAAGCCCTCAAGGTGGATAGGAGCTTAATAGTTCTCTGTCCACTTATAATTCCCAATGATGTTGCCCTTGATGTGAATGGACATGACTAACTTGGGTTCCTTAATTTCACTGAGTCAACTCCTACTCCATGGGAGACAACCCAGGATTTCTACACCGAGTGCCATACCTTCAGGTCAAGGACAAAAGAGGAGCCGGCTGAATCAGGCCAATGGTCCATTGAGTCCATCCTCCTGTTCCCATGGTGACCAACCAGATGTCCACCCTCATGTTCTCATGGTGGCCAGCCAGATGCCTCAGTGGGGGAACATAAGAAGAGCCTGTTGGATCAAGCCAATGGCCCATGATGACCAACCAGATACCTCAATGGGGGAACATAAGAAGAGCCTGTTGGATCAAGCCAATGGCCCATTGAGTCCATCCTCCTGTTCTCATGGTGACCAACCAGATACCTCAATGGGGGAACATAAGAAGAGCCTGTTGGATCAGGCCAATGGCCCATTGAGTCCATCCTCCTGTTCTCATGGTGACCAACCAGATACCTCAATGGGGGAACATAAGAAGAGCCTGTTGGATCAGGCCAATGGCCCATTGAGTCCATCCTCCTGTTCTCATGATGACCAACCAGATGCCTCAATGGGGGAACATAAGAAGAGCCTGTTGGATCAGGCCAATGGCCCATTGAGTCCATCCTCCTGTTCTCATGGTGACCAACCAGATGCCTAAATGGGGGAACATAAGAAGAGCCTGTTGGATCAGGCCAATGGCCCATTGAGTCCATCCTCCTGTTCTCATGGTGACCAACCAGATACCTCAATGGGGGAACATAAGAAGAGCCTGCTGGATCAGGCCAATGGCCCATTAAGTCCATCCTCCTGTTCTCATGGTGGCCAGTCAGAGGCCCTGGTGGGAATCCCATAAGCAGGACCAGAGCACAACTTTTGCCCCTCGGGGAGGTTGTCAAAGCAGCCCTCCCAAAGGGGGCACCTCAGGACAGTAATGCACTTTAATTTGTTACTGCCGGATTAGGGGGCCTCCCTGGGTTTGCCTTCCACTGCTGAAGGCAAGGAGATGTTTGGAACTGGGGACTGCAGAGGCAGCAGCCGCTATTATCCTGATAGCTTTGATCACATAATCCCCTATTAAAGCCTGGATAATGCCAGCCATCTGGAGAGAAAGTGCTCCGGAGTGAAGGAGAATTGGGGGGGGGGGAGAACAGGTCTGGGAATGAGCACCATGGATATTATTGAAGTTGAGCTTTGGCCTTATGCGTTTGGTAGGAGGCCACCAAGCGAGGAACGGCAAGGTTGAAGTTTATGGAATGATTAACCAGCATGGAGAGCATGGTTGGAGATTAATTAACACAGTGGTAGCTTGGTTCTCAAACTTAATCCATTCCGTAAGTCCGTTCCAAAACCAAAGCGCCAAACTTAATCTATTCCAGAAGTCCCCTTGACTTCCGAAAGGTTCAAAAACCCACGCGCAGCTTCTGTTTGGTGCAGGTGCCCCAGAAACAATATCCAAAAGCCACATTGGACGTTCGGCTTCCAAAAAACGTTCGGAAACCGGAACACTTACTTCCGGGTTTTCAGCGTTTGGGAACCAAGGTGTGTGAGTACCAAGGTGTTTGAGAACCAAGGTACAGTCATATCTCATGTTACGTCTGCTTCATGTTACGTTCTTTCAGGTTATGTCCCGCGGCGACCCGAAAGTACCGGAAAGGGTTACTTCCAGATTTCGCTGCTCGTGCATGCACAGAGGCGCAAAAGGACGTCACGTGCATGCGCAGAAGCGGCGAATCGCAACCTGCGCATGCGCAGATGCACCGCTGCGGGTTGTGCTCTTCTCATGTTGCAAATGGGCCTCCGGAACGGATCCCATTCACAACCAGAGGTACCACTGTACCACTGTAGATTAATAGAGAATAGTTTTTCTTCCTCTCTCATAGTACTAGAATTCATGGACTTCCAATGAAGCTGAAGGTTCTCCTTTTCTCAGAGCATAGCTAAACTAAGGAACTTGCTGCCACGGGAGGCAGTGATGGCCACCAACTTGGATGGCTTCGAAAGAGGATTGGAGAAATTCATGGAGGAGAAAGCTATCAGTGGTTACTAGCTAAGATGGTTATTTCTTTCCTCCATGGTCAGAGGCAGTAATCCTTATGAATACCAGCTGCTGGAAACCACAAGAAAAGTGAGTGCTCTTGTGCTCAGGTCCTGCTTATGGGCTTCCCATAACGGGCATCTGGTTGACTACTACGAGAACAGGATGTTGGACTCGATGGGCCACTGTCAAGCACCAGGGAATCCGATCCCTCCCACGGTAGGAAGTCAGGAATAGGTAAACAAGGAGAGCTCTTACCAAGTCTTTTATTCAATATTCACAGAGAGAGGCTTAGAAAAGCTGCCCCTTTGTGGTCATGGCATTGCTCCAAGTGGAGCCCCACCCCCTCCGTCTCTTCTATTATACGTCATCCCTACGTTGGCGTATCTGTGCTTTCTGCCTCTGAGCTTTCTGCTCTCCTACTTTCAATGCCCACTAGGTTCTGGGAGGGGGGGTCTGACATGCTTGCTAAAGACACTGTCAGCTGTCTCTCCCCTTGTCCTTATTATTGTCCCTGCTCCTCTCCCAATATTTCCCAGCTTCTCCCCTCTGCAGCCTCTGAGCTGTGACTTTCTGCAAACCACTGTTTCAAATCTATACGTCTCCCTCTTCTCTAGAAGGTTCAGGCTGAGGAGGGAGTATCCACCATTCCTCCCCCTGCTCTGTCCAGTCCCTGACAGCCACTGGTCTGATCCGGCAGAGATCTCCTTAAGGGTCCTTCATTCCATTTCCCCCCTGACTCACTTTCCATTTCCTCCCATGATCAATCTGCATTCCATGGTGACTGAACATGCTCAAAGTGCTATTGGAGGACAGGGCAGAAAACCATTCCTATTAGGGTCTCTCCCCCCTCCCCATATTTTCTTTTTTGCATTTACACTAACCTTGAGAGCCCTCTGAGCCTAGTAATACCTCTGTCTTGTGAGTGGCTGCTGCCATTTTGGCTATTTAATGAATAGAGGACACACACTGTGTACACTGGAAATAGAAGGAATTATTCCCACTATTCTGCAGTGAATTGGCATGAGAGTCATGACCTCAAGAGCTGCAGTTCAGTTCCTCCAAAGTTCAGCATGATGGTGAAAGATCAAGTTCCAGAAAAGCCTGTTTCTCTCAATGTTGTTGTGTCGAAGAATAGCTCTGTGTGTGTGCGCGCGCAAGTGTGATGTGTGTTATAATTTATAGCCTAAATCCCCAGGCTTACAAAGAGATTGCCCTCAAAATCCAATCCGGCAGCCCCATCCCTCATGAGTTCATTACTGTTTAATTTAATCACCTACTGTCACCCCAGCGCCATTTATCCTGCCTGGTCACTGGAGAGATTTACCTATTTATTTTACATTTCAAATGAACAACTCATTATTCTGTCATTCAGCGGTTTCGTTCGGTAATTCATTTCACCAATCCTGACAAGTTGAAAATGAAAACTCGTCTCCCCTCCTCCTCTCCCTGCCATCCCCTCCCCCCACTCACCCGTCGCCTTGCATGTTAATATGACTCGTTTTTTGGATGACCACCACCATCTCCCCTTTTCCTCCAAGACAGGCAGTTCATCATCTTAGGAGGGGTGGGGGGAAACCCAGAGATGGCCCTCAACACAGTCTCTTGCTTATGCCCCTGTTGGCAGGACCTCATTCTCTGGGGCAAGATGTTAGAAGGGGAACTGATTCCAGGTGATGACCCTAAGCTCTAAGGGAGTGAGCCATGCTGTAAATAATCTGTTAGTCTAATAAAAGACTAAGTACGCAGGCTAAGACCCTACCTGCCCACAGACTGTCTCGCCAGAGTGGTGCATGCTCTAGTTATCTCCCGTTTGGACTACTGCAATGCACTCTACGTGGGGCTACCTTTGAAGGTGACCCAGAAACTGCAATTAATCCAGAATGCAGCAGCTAGACTGGTGACTGGGAGTGGCCACTGGGACCACATAACACCAGTCCTGAGAGATCTGCATTGGCTCCCAGTACGTTTCCGAGCACAATTCAAAGTGTTGGTGCTGACCTTTAAAGGCCTAAATGGCCTCGGTCCTGTATACCTGAAGGAGCGTCTCCACCCCCATCGTTCAGCCCAGACACTGAGATCCAGCGCCGAGGGCCTTCTGGCAGTTCCCTCATTGTGAGAAGTGAGGTTACAGGGAACCAGACAGAGGGCCTTCTCAGTAGTGGCGTCCACCCTGTGGAACACCCTCCCTTCAGATGTGAAGAAAATAAGCAGTTATCCTGTCTTTAAAAGACATCTGAAGGCAGCCCTGTTCAGGGAAGTTTTTAATATTTAATGCTGTACTGTTTTTAACTTTTGATTGGGAGCCGCCCATGGTGGCTGGGGAGACTCAGCCAGATGGGCGGGGTATAAATAATAAATTATAATTATTAAAAGTGTTGGTTCCAAGGAACTTCCAAGGGAGAAACAAAGCGACTGAATTTGGAACTGTGTGTCAACCTAGCAGTTCGAAAGCATGTCAAAGTGCAAGAAGATAAATAGGTACCGCTCTGGCGGGCAGGTAAACGGTGTTTCCATGCGCTGCTCTGGTTCACCAGAAGTGGCTTAGTCATGCTGGCCACATGACCTGAAAGCTGTCTGCAGACAAACGTCGGCTCCCTCGGCCAGTAAAGCGAGATGAGTGCCATAACCCCAGAGTCGTCCACAAGTGGACTAACGGTCAGGGGTCCCTTTACCTTTACCTTACACACACTGTATACACTATTGATTGATTGATTGAATTCCTTTATATCCCATCCTTCCTCCTTGTTGAATGGATTTAGATGAATAGGAGAGGATATTTCATTGAATAATTATACTTCCTCTTTCTCAGTTATGCGAGAATGCAGATATCTATTTCAGCAGAGTTAAAAATCGCCATCCGTGTGCAGCTTATCTCTAGAAGCTATAAGGACAAGTTTGCTTAACCTTCGAGAGCAATTCTGATATCCAAGGATATTTTAGGCAGGCTTGGATTATCTTTTTCCTGTTTTATGTTCCCTCTTGACAAAGAAATCACTCTCAGTCTCCTAGGTAGACAAGAAAAACACAAGGTTTACTCACATCAAAATCTTGCCAGAATTCAACAGATACCGTGATGAAGATCAGGCAGGCAATAATCCTTAATTGTTACAAATATCCATAGTCCTGTTCATAACGGAGATTGCTTTCTGGAGGAGAACAAAGATACGTCTTCCCCCAACAAAGGAAGGGTGAAAAAATGTGCAGTGGCAGGGAGGAGTAAAGATTAAGTTTTCTATTGTTTCCCTCCCTGCCTCAAAAGTTTAGAAGATATGACATCATAGAGCCCTCTGTTTGTGACTATCTAGCAGTCATGCAGTTATGATTTGGCTGCAGATTGTCCTACACTCCTCAAGGAGCCCACGGTGGCAAACAGATATACCATTTAAAAGCAAAACCAGAAACACTCTAAAACAAATTGTCTAAAAACAATTCTAAATGAAAACATTCTAAAATCAGTTACAGTTTTAAAAAAGAAATCTAAAAGCAGTTAAAAATGTTCTTCCATCCAATGATCATAGGGTCCTCAAGAATGTGGAACCCTTTTGAGTTTGAGGGCCAGGTTCCCTGCTAAGCAACCTTCCATGACTATAACAACAACAACAACAACAATAATTTATTACTCTTACCCCATCCATCTGACTGGGTTGCACCAGCCACTCATATAAAAGAACAACATGAAGGAATTGATTTATTTTGGTCAATGACCAGAATGAACGTGTGTTTTTTAAAAAAGAACACATGGTACATCAGACTTAAAAAGTTTCCTGGTACAGGGCTGCCTTCAGATGTCTATGGAAGGTCGTATAATTGATCATCTCTTTGACATCTGATGGGAAGGTGTTCCACAGTGCAGGTGCCACTTCTGAGAAGGCCCTCTGCTTGGTTCCCTGTAATCTCACTTCTTGCAATGAGGGAAAACCAGAAGGCCCTCTGAACTGGACCTCAGTGTCCAGGCTGAACGATGGGGATGGAGATGCTCCTTCAGGTATTCAGAGCCAAAGCTGTTTAGGGCTTTAAAGGTCAGCACCAACACTTTGAAGTGTACTCAGAAGCATACTGGAAGCCTATGTAGGTCTCATGTAAGAGCAGTGTTATCAGCAGCGTAGCTACCTGCCCGGGTGCCCGGTGTGGTGCAGGCGTCCTGCAGCCAGGGGCGGGGCGAGCCACCCATGGGGACAGAGCAAGCCGCCCATGGGGGCAGGGCATGCTGCGTGGAGCCTCTCCGCCACCTCTCCTTCAACTGTAGGGTGGCTGAGGAAGAGGTGGTGGGCAGACGCAAGTCCCACACTGCTGTTTTAGGCAGTGTGGAATCTGCAGGTGCCCAAGCCACCACATCACTCCCAGGAGAGACACGTGGCTCGTGCACTCTGCAGGCCCCACAGTAAGTGCCGGCCCCCATGGTGTGGTGCTCAGTGCCAGCCACATTTCTTTACATTTGTTGACTGAACTAAAAAGTTTTGTGAGCCCATTTTTAATTTTTTTAAAAACGCATATTTTTGTCATTTTGTCAACCCCCCTCAGTGATGATACCCAGGGCAGACTGCACCGCCTGCACCCCCTTCCTCCACCACTGGGTGTTATATAGTCCCAGCAGCCTCTCTCAGTCACCTGTCTGGCAGCTGCATTCTGGTTTAATTGTAGTTTCCGAGTCACCTTCAAAGGTAGCCCCATGTACAGCATGTTGCAGTAGTCCAAGCAGGAGATAGCTACAGCGTGTCACAGGTGGTTGGGCCCCGAAACAAAAGTTAGTGGAGCAATTAATACAAATGTTTCCTTTGCATCTGAGGCTAGTTCCTTCACACACACCCTCCAGCCTCTATCCACAACAGCATGGAGTATTATTGGAGTTCAATGTTTCAGGTGTGGCGATGTTCCCATTCCCAGATTCTTCCAGAGAGCAACATCTGTGAGCTCTGAGGTTTAATCGTTTAAAGAATTCAAGAGCTTTTTTTTTTAAAAAAAGCAACAACGCAGAATACCGAACTCGACATCTGAATGAACATCTTGTGAGGCAGAGAAAGTTAATTGAAAATGTCACCTGCAATTTGAAATGCCAACAAGAAAGCTCCCTGCTGCTTAAAGCCGTCAGATGGAAATTTTGGGGCAGCCCAGGACAGGAGTCAAAGAACAGCACCTGTCTGGGTTCCACAGATCAGTACTGGTTGGAAATGAGCTGATGTGATGCCTTGGAACTCAGTGGTTTTCAAAGTGTGGTTCGTGGACCACCCGTAGTTTGTGAGCTTCATTCAGAAGCTACATGTATAGGAAAAGGCAGTGCTGGACCTGACTCCTTTTCTGAACCTTTTCACCCTGTGAAGAGCAGACTGGGCCCCTGAGCCCATGCGTACAGAAGAAGCAGGGTTTGGGTCTCCTGCTTTATCAGTAGCTTCAGTTGTGTCTACAACTGGTGGGGCATCATCTCCCACCTGGAGTCTTCTTTCTTAGGTGCCTCTTCCACCCAGTCTGAATCGGAGTCCTCTTGTTGTTGTTGTTTAGTTGTTTAGTCGTGTCCAACTCTTCGTGACCCCATGGACCAGAGCACGCCAGGCACTCCTGTCTTCCACTGCCTCCCGCAGTTTGGTCAAACTCATGCTGGTAGCTTCGAGAACACTGTCCAACCATTTCGTCCTCTGTCGTCCCCTTCTCCTTGTAACCTCAATCTTTCCCAGCATCAGGGTCTTTTCCAGGGAGTCTTCTCTTCTCATGAGGTGGCCAAAGTATTGGAGCCTCAGCTTCAGGATCTGTCCTTCCAGTGAGCACTCAGGGCTGATTTCCTTCAGAATGGATAGGTTTGATCTTATTGCAGTCCATGGGACTCTCAAGAGTCTCCTCCAGCACCATAATTCAAAAGCATCAATTCTTCGGCGATCAGCCTTCTTTATGGTCCAGCTCTCATTTCCATACATCACAACTGGGAAAACCATAGATCATGACAAATCCACTCACTGCTTTCTTTTGTCATCTTCTGCTGCTGCTGCTGCCGTCTGTGCCAAGCTAAGCAGGTGCACACTGATGACACCATCAATTTGTGCCAGGCTTGGGAGAAGGTGAGTGGGGTTAGTCTTGTTCGCCCCACTGGCAGGTGGGATCTTGGAAGCTGGTGGAGAAGGTAGGGTAAAAGGTAGGGAGTAGAACCAGAGCCAATGACAGACAGAACCAGCTAATCCTAGCTTTTGTCCCAGTTCTCCTCTCTGCTGAGTTTTACAAGGGCAGTTTTACAAGATTCAAAGGGTCATTATTTGAGCCATAGAGTCGGGAGGGGACACTGAAAAGCACTGGTGTCTGGTGTCCACTGGTAGGGTAGAAGGCAGGGAGCCCAACAGTAGAGGGCGCTGCAGCCAATGACAGGCAGTGTAGAGTAACTCTCATTGTGTTCTGATTTCTCCCTGCTGACTTTTACCCTGGCAAAACTGAGACTAGGGAGGAGGATGTTGACAGGCAGGGGCCACCACCTGGACTTGTTGTATGTAAGAAGGCAGGCAAGTGGGGTCAGACAGACATTGGTGGGGCAGGGCTCCTTCCCCCTAAAGGAGTAGCACCCACTGAATATTAGGGGTCTCTTGAAGAATGGCAGCTGAAATTGACAGAATGTGTAGAACTGACCGGTTTGATCAGAAAGAGATTGATTTGAAAGAAGATTGGGCAATGTTTGCGGAATACTTAAAAACTCATTGTAAAAATGCAAGAATGCAAACTGGATTTGAGTAAGAACAGCAGCAGGGGCGGGGGGACTTTTTGTTTTTATTGTGAGATAAGGTGAAGGTATAAAATACGCAGCATAAATTGAAATTTTGAGGGAACCGTAGAGGAAGGAAGGGGAAGTCATAGGTGGAATGATTGATTGCTAAATTTGAAATGTTGTCAAATTATTTATTTGTTGAATATATATATATATATGAATATTAGGGTTCTCATCCACAATTCCTCTTGCCCTGCTGCTTCCCTGTTGTTAGGTTTAGTACATCTCTCACACACGACGCAGCAAGCTGGCAGTTTAACTTCTTAGCTTCATTTGGGCAATTACAGGCTTACAGCAAACAGAGCCTCCCACAGCTCATTCTTCACTTTCGGAGTCTGTTGACTCGACTGGCCTCCAACCCCTTCCAAGGCCAGATATATGCCGAACCTGTCCCCGCTTCCAGCTGGTCTTCCTTTGCTGTAATCGCTTGCTCCGCCTCCTACTTCTGGGAGACTCAGGTGCAGCCTTCTGTTTTCCTCTGCCTCTTCCTTCCCCTCTGCCGATTCCTCTCTGAGCCATGTCTCCGACATCCGTAGGGAAAACTGCTCTTTAGCGCACAATAGGAGCAAATGGCAATTTGGTCTTCCTCCAGATTGACATTTGCTCCAATTTAGCACCAAAGAGCGGATTTCCCCCGGGAAAGGAGTGTGGAGTGTGAATGAGTCCCTAGTCTCAGAAAGGCAAAACAGGCCCATCTCGTGGCACTCACAATGGCTTGTTGAGGCTCTGTGCCCTGAAATTTGGAAACTTTGTGTCTCAGTTACCCACAAGGACTAGAAGCTCCTCTTTTTGAACTCAAAAGTTGAAGTTGTTGGGGAAAACACACACACACACACACACACAGAGCACAAAGCAACACATAAGAAGGCAGGCAGGTGAGGGCTAGTTGAGGACAGCCTGAAATTGGTGGAGCAGTGGCCCCAGTCACCTTAACGGAGCAGCCTCCGCTAAATCTGGACCTGATTGCACGGCCTTGCAGGTGTAGTAGACATGCCAGCCTCTCAACCCATGAGGTTGGTGAAAGCTGTGATTCATGCACTGCAGGGGGTCAGACTAGATGACCTTTGGTGGATCCCTTCCATCGCTACAGTTGTATGATTCTATGATTCTAAAAAGCCAAGAAAGGGAAGCAAATGTCAGCCCTCCAGAGGTTTTTATTTATTTGCCAGCATTCTCCTCCTGCTGCTGCTTAGACAGAGAAGCGGGGGTTTATCTCCCTGCTGTCAAAGCAGATCAGACCCATTTCCCATTCAGAATATTGATAGCAATTACTTGAAACCTTTCTGGTGTTTGAGCTTGATAGGCTCCTCTTACAGGTTTTTTTTTTATGCTGAAGGTGTTTGGCATTTGTTATTTTTGGAGAGGGCGGGGGAGCTGAAAGAGTGCTTTGTCCTGACCTTTGGTTAGCACTGTCGAAAACAGCCCTTCAATTTCTTGCAAGTTTTTCACCCCTCTGACAGAGGCTC